CCAGAGCCCCTCGCTGGGGTGAGCCCTGCCCGGGGCCTGGCAGTGCTGTCCCTGTGCTGTAGCAAGCCCAGGACATGGCACTACAATGGTCTCTCACTCTTCCTTTCCCCTGCCTCCCCTGTGGGCATTGTGTCTGGATGTGGCCACCGGTCCTGGATTAATCCTGGAGCCAGACTTGCCCTCCCTCCTTGGCTGGAGCCCTTCTGGGGCTACTCAGCCCTGAACTGCCACCACTTTGGCACTGTGGACTCAGGGCAGCAGGGGTTTCTCTCCAGCAGTGGGAAGACTGTGGGCACATGGCTCCTGCAGCCCTGTCCCTGTCTCCTGCCTGCATCTCATGCCCCAGCCAGTGACTGGGGATGTTGCTGTACCCTTCCTTGTTTTTACTGGACCTGAAAATAAATCTCAAGTGTGTTTTTTAAGTGACTGTCTGTTGCACTGTGCTAAGCTGGGCGTGTTGGGCAGCCTGTGGTGGAATGTGAAGATGGCCTACAGGATCCTTAGATCTGGGCTGGGGAGAGCAGGGATTCTTCATCAGTGCACCTAAGTGCCCCTTGGCTGGGCATTAACTGCTGGTGACCCCAAATAAAGCACCCAGAGCACCCCTCCTGCAAGGGCAGATATCAGCCCCCAAGAGCTGTGCTGCTCCTGCCTGTGGGCTGCTCCTCCCTGGGCCTGAACAACTGCCCCCCGGGCTTTTTACAGGGTTTCATCCTACTTTTATAATTTTTCTCTTGGGCTGCTCAGCACTGTTCCTGCTGAGTGTGCAAATGCACAATGCTGGGGGCTGGCAGGGACAGTCCTGGCAGGGTGCTAGGGGCAGTGATCTCAATTTTAGTGATACGCCCACTTTGAGTGATGGAAATGGCCATTTCATCCTGACCTGGCACTCGGCACATCTTAAATAAAAAACCCAAAAGGATTAAAAATCCAAAGCAGTGCCTGTAAGTTAATTCTTTAATTGAGAGGAGGAAGAGGCCACCACTCACCCCCAGGGCTGGTCATGCTGTGCCAGTAAGTGGCCTCTGGATTATCCACTCCTCTTGGGCAGCCCCTCATCTCTCTGCATCTGGGGGTGTTTCTGTGCCAGCACACTCTTGGCCATGCTCCAGGCTCAAGTCTCAATAAATTAAGCTGAAAATAAGGCAGAAAGTTCTTTACATGTGGTCGATAAATCACTGGGAGCCCAGCAGGTGCCATGCTCACACCCCTGCTGGACTTGGCCCTGAGCATCTTGCTCCCACGCTGAGTTGGCTCTGGATTGATGTGGATCCTTGGTCCCCGCCCGCCTGGGCCATGCCAGGGATGGGATCTTTATGGTCCTTGCCCCAGGGTTGGAGTGGAGCAGATGGGGAGCTGAGGGAGGAGGACTGCAGCGCTGCACTACTGCTGCTGGTCCATGTAGACCTGCACAGCTTTCCAGAGCGCCCGGATATTGCCTTCCCCAAAGCCGGGCGCTCCCCGACGGTCAATGAGCTCCAGGAAGAAGGTCTCCTCAGAGAAGATGGGATGGGTGAAGATCTGCATCAAATATTCCTGAGAGGGGCTCTCTGTGGCATCAGTGCCCAGCCGACCCTTGTCCCCAGGCACTGTGGTGTCCAGGAGGATGCCAAGCTCCGCCAGCATGTGGGGGTCCTGCCCAGCTCCTCGGATCTCCTCTGCTTTGCCCCCCTGGCTGTAATAGGTGGTAGGGGGTGTGAAGAACCGTGCCCCCCGCTGCTGCAGAGCCCTGGTCGTGCTGACAATGTCAGTGGTGCAGAGACCGACGTGCTGGATCCCAGCCCCGCCGTGCTGCTCCAGGAACGTGTCGACCTGGTTGGTGCCATTCTGGGAGAGAGACTCGGCAAAGACCAGCTTGCAGCCGTGTGCTGGGGTGCCCTGGGCGCTCTGCAGTGCGAGGAGCAGCATGCCCACCCCCTGCCCCCCCAGCACATACCCCTCAGCCGGCCTTTCCCGGGGGTTCAGCAGGAAGCGGTGGAAGCCGAAGCAGCGCTGGTACCAGTCCAGAGCCGCCCGGGCCCCGCCCCGGGGGCAGACATATGTGATGTGGTCAAAGTGAGAGATCTTGATCCCATCTCCTGTGGCTGAGGGGGCTCCTTGGATGGGCTGGAAGCCAGGCAGGAAGAGCCCCCGGTAACAGGATCGGTCCAAAAGGGTGTGGCTGATGTTGCCCACGACAGAGCTCACCACCCCATAGGTGACAGAACCAGCGTCATCCCTCAGCTCAGTGGGGGGCACCAGCAAGGAGCATCCCTGGCTCTGCAGCCGCTTGCAGAGCTCTGGCACATCATCCACCTCGAAGCAGATGTTGGAGGCCGTGCCCAATGTGGGCTGGGGATCTATGTCATAGAGAAAATCACGGGATGAGGTGCTGGCAGGTGCCAGGCGCTCGTTGACGAGGAAGATGGCAGATTCTCGTTGCAAGGCCACCTGCCGGACACGCGGCGTCTCCCGCACGGCCACCGGCTGGAAGCGAAAGGTGCTGGCCAGGTGCTGGCCCCAGCCCTGCCTGTAGGGCAGGTGGAGGGAGATGAAGCAGGGGCGGCTCAGCGAGGCTGCCATGGCTGGGCAGGCTGCAGGGAGGATGCAGGGGATCAGGGGGGCTGCTGGCCCTGGGGAAAAGCCGTTCCCCCACCTTGCACACAGCACACCTGTGTTTGCAAGCACAGATGCGTATGTGTGTAAACTCGCACCTTTTAAATGTGTGTATTTTAAATAACTGGGTCTCAGGAGCCAATTTGCACTGTGAAAGGGCAGCCACCTTCGGGACCAGCTACACAGAGCTGTCCAAGGATGCCAAGCGTTCCTGCAGGCCTTTCACTCTGCTACCCTGCCCCATGCTGGAGGTCCCAGAGCAAGAAAGCCCTGAGCCCTGGATGCAGCCCTGCGGGTCCCCTTTGGAGCCACGTGTAATTTGGGAGTGCTGAAGGGAGGTCAACGGGGATTCCCAGTGGAGGAGGTGTGCTGCACGTGTAAGCAAGATTATGGGGACAAGGGTTATGGTGGGAATGTCCTGTACCAGAACATGGACTGGTAAACATGGAGCAACACACTGGTTACAGCTAAAACGCTCCTGTGCTGCCCTAGTGCCTGTCAGGTGTGTCCCACCAGTGGAGGGGAGCAGTGGGGTCATGATAGGCTCATGTGCCCTTCCCCTCCCCAACAAGGACAGCGTGGAGTCACCATGCTCTCTGCAACAGTCTGGGAATAATGACCTTGCCCTAGGGGCACAGAGGAGGGACACTTCGGGAAAGTGATCTTCCTCCCCACCAATCCAAATATCTGTGATGCTCAAGAGGGAAAAAAGATGTGCCCAAAACCCCAATCGGAATCACCTCTCCAGAGCACCCACTGAGGCTTCCTGATCCCACGGCATGCACGAGCCGCTCTGGCCAGTCCTCACAGGTGTGCAGTGGGCTGGGGACAACACACCTGCTGAAATATTCCCTTCCACCTGCCCGCTTGCAGGGGCTGCGTGCACCGAGCTCTCCCTGCCCCTTCCCACCGGCCCAGGGCGGCGGGACCGCGTGGAGCCCGGCGAGCACATGGGCAGCGGCCGGCGCTCCTTCCCCGGCCCCGCTGCCCGCGGCGCTCCCGCGCCCGCGCCCGCCCCGCCGCCCCCGCGCCCCGCTCGCCCCCGGGCCGCGGCTCACCGGGTCAAGGCTGCGGCGAACGGACGCGGCAGCGCCGGCGCGGGGCGGGGCAGCTCGCTGCGCCCCGGCGTGCACCGGGCACGGCGGGCCGGGCACGGCGCCCGCGGGACGCTCCCGGCGCGGGATCGCGGCCATCGCCCCGAGCACGGACGGGGCCGGCGCACCGGGACCGCGCTGCCCGCTGCGGGTGCCGCGGTTTGCGCACCAAAAGCCGCCCAGGCTGAAAGCCGCAGGCACGGGATGAGCCGAGGGGAAGCGCCTGCCCGGCGGTGGCTGGGGCTCCTGGGGCTCAGCTCGTGTCTGTGCAGGGTCGTTCCCTGCCAGCCCGAGTCCCAGCACATGAACTGGGGAAACGTGTCCCTGCTCAGTGCTGGGCGCTTCACAGCGTCCGGGGTACCCGGGGGGCACTTGGGGGGAACAACGTGCAGGTGGGGGGGTGACAGCTCTGAGGAAAGTCCGGTGTCAGTCATGAGGGACTGCTCACCATCCTTGCAGACATCTCTGGGCCCCTCAAGCCTCTCAGCAGTGATCCCCTCTCCCGCTGCTGTTTTCAGACGAATCCCCGCATTATGTGTGTCTGGGATCATATTCTGCCCCCGCTGTGACTGTGGCTGCTTGCCCTTCCCTGCCTTATCATGTTTTTGTACAGATCCCAGGTACAATAAACTGCTCAAATATTTGCAGAGATGTCCTTGTGCTGCCAGAGCGGTGAGCTCCTCTTGTTTGGCTGGGGGGTGGAATCAGTGTCGCTGTGATTTCCCAAGGAAACACCGACACTAGCACAGACCCATCAACGTGGGGCCGGACAGGAGGCATGGAACTGGACACTGGGGAGTTGCTGTGGGGCCAAGCTTGGCCTGAGAACGGCCATGGGCACAACAGAACAGCCGGGCTTTTGAGGTGACACCCCACAGGGCAGGGAGCTCCAGCACCCTGCCTTGTATGGGAGACACCATCTTCTTGGCTGCAGGGAAGCAGAGACGGCACTGGTGGCTCCTGTGGCGCCCCGTGCAGGGATGGCGCTGTTGGAGGTCACCCCGCAGTCCTGCAACCCTTTGGTGTAGCAGTGTCCTTGGCAGTACCCCCAGCCCTCCTGTGCCTGCGAGGTTTGCAGCGGCTGTGTCCATCTCTCCCGTGTCAGCCTCTGGCGTCAGCCCGGCACCAGGCACCGCTTTGCCCCAGCACGGCTTGGGCTGGGCTGTGGCACCAGCGCCCCGAGGCCACATGGCACCGACGGGGACAGTGCCTGCCTTGTCGCTGTCCCCTCGAGGCAGGCGGTGGTGGCCGGGGCACAGTCCCCGCTCCAGCCAGGCTCTTCTCCTCCCTCCTGGGCGGGGAGAGTGGTCAGGAGATAAAAGGGAGACCAGGGCCAGCTGGAAGTTGCTGAAAGCTGCCGGGGCCCGGAGCGAGGGAGGACGGCAGCGAGGAGAAGTGCGGTATCGAGGGCTCGTTCTCGCGGGGAGGGGGGTGGGGAGTGGGGGCACATCCACCCTGTCCAGATCCTGCATCTCCCTGCTCCCTCCCCAGACCATTCCCTCCAGACCCATATCCTCCCTCTTGCCCATTGAATGTGCTGGATATTAGAGGGACGGGCAATATCCTGGGTTAGAGAGCTGTTGGAGGATAGGGCTTCAGGCAAATTTTGGGAGACTCAAGGGTTTTAAAAGCTTTGTGTATTCCCAAAGCACTTTGTGGGGTATCAAGGACTCTCAAGGTGACCTGAAGGTGAAACCATCTCTGTCTCAGTGACTGCTCACTGGCAGCTGAGATGATGAGGGCTGTATCCCTGCTCCCTTCTGGAGCAAAGTCAGACCTCTCTCTGGGGCTGGGTTTGTTTTGTGGGATCAAAGAAATGGAGAAGGCCCATGGCCAGAGGAGTACCTTCCTCTCTTGAGCTGTGGAGTGGGTCTTCACTGCCAGGGGAGAACAGGATGCTGTAGCAGTGGGTGCCCACAAAAGACAGCAGCAAGGAGCCAAATTCCCCACCTCGTACCCATTTCCTTGCCCCCTGGGATGGGGGTCCTGGCTTCCAGTGCCAGGATCAGGCCAATACTGCCCACACCCTTGTCTGCCCTGGAGCAGGCTGCAGGGAGGTGTTTTGGGGTTGCAGTGGATCTGGGAGGAGAGTAACACCCCATGTCCCCCTGCCAGGGCCAGGGTCCAGGATGGGGCTGCTGGTGCTGGCCCTGGCCACCTGGCTGGGGCTGGGGCTGGCCTCGGCCTCTGAGGAGATGGCCAACAGCAGCCGGATCTGCCAGGAGGCGCCGGCATGGACCATCAATGGCTCGAGCCCCATGGAGGGGGCGGCAGGGCAGGTGACGGTGGTGGCCCTGCTGAAGGCCAGCTGACAGTTCTGCCTGAGGCAGGCCCACAGGTGAGCCCCACTCCCGCTCCCCACAGCAGTCCCCGCCGTCTCGGGGGCGTCTGGCAGCCCCCTGCCCCGGCAGCCCTCCCAGCGCCTCCTTCCCGCAGCCTCGGGGGCCTGCGGGAGCGGCTGGCCCGGCAGGGCACGGCCGATGTCCGCTACATGATCGTCAACGAGAAGGCGCCGCTGTCCCGCGCCATGCTGCCCGAGCTGCAGCGCCATGCCCCGCCCGGCGTCCCCGTCTTCCAGCCCGAGCGGGAGGACCCTGACGTCTGGCAGGTCCTGGGGGGTGACAAGGACGACTTCCTTGTTTATGACCGGTGAGTGTCCCCCGACTCGCCTGAGGCTTTAATGGGTGTTACAGAGCGTTTGATGGGCTTCCAAAATCTCCTCTCATGCCTGGGCTGGGGGGGATTCCAGACCCCTGTCTTGAGTCAGGCCATGACTTCTCCCCTCAGGTGTGGCCGCCTGGCTTTCCACATCCAGTTGCCCTTCAGCTTCCTCCACTTCCCCTATGTGGAGGCAGCCATCCGCTCCAGCCACATCAAGGACTTCTGTGGCAACTGCTCCCTGTACCCCAACACTACCCAGGAGGTAAGACGTGGAATGCTTGCTGGAGCTTTGGATCCCTTCTGTCCTTGGCACTGCACATCAGCAAGAGCAATCATATCTCCGTGTTGGGGATGGGCTCTGGGTTGGCAGCTGCCCTCAGATGTATTTGAGAGGAAAGGTGATGGAAGGTCTGGAATAAGGGCACTTAAATAGGTCAGAGCTTTCCGGTTGAAAAGGAATTGACTAAAGGGGTCATATCCCATGTCTAGGAATGCTAACTAGGACTGTTCCCATAAAAGAAAGGGCTGGCAGTGGATGCAGAGGTGGCAAGCTCAGAGCAAAGAAAAGGGTGTAGCTCTGAGCTTGGCAGGCGATTAGTCACTTCCCAGGAGAGAAGTACATCCAGAAATACTAAATGCTAATTTCTGTTTCTGGACCACAGACAGCTTGAGCCAAGGAATGCAAGTCTAGAGGCTTGTGCCCTGTGTGCTCCAGCCTCTCCTGTCCTCCCTGTGCCCTGGGTCAGGGCTGGAGAGCATTTGCTCTGACCCACAGTTTTCTGTATGATGAATGCTGGTCTGCCTTCCCAGTTCACAGCTGTGCCCCCAGGCTTCCTGCAGGGTTGTGTGGGCATTCACATACCACAACAGTCCTTGTGTTACTTTCCTCAGGCTAACAGCACCATGGAGGGCTTTGCAACCCCGAGCTCCCTTCCTGAACATGAGGGGATGGAGTCAGAGACCCCTGTCCACCAGCACAAGCCCCTCCATCCTCATCGCCACCACGAGGTCAACAGCGAGAGGGACACAAACCCAAGTGAGGACCACAAACCTGCTACCCATGCTCACCACCACCATGGAGACCATGGCCAGCTCCATCACAAAGGGAGGAAGCAGAAGGAGGGGGATGAGCATTAAACCAGGCTGGGCAGCCTTGCAGAACCCAGTAGTGTGCAGATGACCCCAGCTCACTTCACAGAGGCATGGAAGGACTTGCTTTGGGCTGCTGGTCACCAGCAGCACTGGTTTAACAACTTCCTCCAGCATACCTCATGTGGGCTGTCCTCCTACGCTGTGATAGGGATGGAAATTCCCCTTGGACCCTGCTCAGTGCTGCGTTTTCAGCCCCAGGGCTCAGTTCTGAGCCTTCATCTGCCACTGCCTGCCTTTCTGTGCTCAATGAAGCCCGCTGTGCAAACCAGGAGGTCCCTGGTCACTGCTGGCTGACACCGCACAGAGAAGCGGGGCGGGGCTGGAGGGGCCAGAGCTGGGATGGGAGCAGCGCTGCCGGCATCCTCTGCCAGAGCTGGGATGGGAGCAGCGCTGCCGGCATCCTCTGCCAGAGCTGGGATGGGAGCAGCGCTGCCGGCACCCTCTGCCAGAGCTGGGATGGGAGCAGCGCTGCCGGCACCCTCTGCCCATCCAGACACCCCTGGGTTTGCTGGAATCCCCGAGTTTCCTGGCCAGGGAGCGAGGGGAGGGACAGCGTGTGCCCGGCAGGACGCGGTCCGGGGGACTGAGGGCACGAAGAGCGGTGGGATGTGGCAGCTCGCCATGGTCCAAGCTGTAGCCCCGTGTCTGACCGTGCGCTCGGGTGTGTGCAGCGGTGCTGGTGGCCGCAAGATGGTGGCCTTGTCCCCTCCTGGAGACCCAGGGCCGAAGCAATGGCACCGCTCGGGGAGGGCTGGGTGACCGCGCTGAGGGGTGAGCGGGGCGGGAGGGCAGCGCGGACATCCGGAGTGCGAATAAAACCTCTGTGAAGTGACCACTGCTCGGTTTGGCCTCTGGTGGGCCCGGGGGGATCTTGCTCAGTGCACAGGGAGGGACACAGGGCTGGATGTAGACCCCAAGGTGCAGCAGCCAAGGATGGTTTACATTCCCTGAACAGGAGTTGGAAGTAAAGGAGTTTAAGATTGAAGAGAAGTCTTCTTCAAGAGAAGACACCATCTCTTCCTATCTTCCAGCTGCCTCCCAGGATGGGAGTCCAGGACATTAACACTGCACTGCTTGGAGGATATTTGGCTTGGCACTTCCATACCTGGCTTGTAGGTGTGATGTTGGGGTGCTTGCCCCAAGCTGCTGCTGGTTCCCACATGCAGTCCAAAGTCATCACGGGCATCTTGTCCCATCCAGTGCCCAGACCAGTCCCCATTGCAGGCACATTGTGGGGCTCCCCAGCCCTCAGGCAGGTGGGTGCTGTGCCCCTGGCAGGTAGTCATGCCTGCCTTCATCTTATGGTGCCCCAGGCCTGTCTCTGCCCTTTACTCCAGCTCCATCCATCATCCTACACAGCCCTACTCAGTGCCTCTTACAGCCCTGCATCCTGAGTGGGGAGCAGAGAGATGATTTTCTGCTCAGTGATTTCATGGTGCTGTGTCCCAGTGCTGGGTTTCTGCATCCTGTCTCTGCTGGAGGATGTTCTGCACAGTGACTAGGACAAGAACCAGGATGAAAAGGAGCTGTTCCTCACAGGGATGACAGCAATGGGATCAGATGTGTCTTTCTTACCAGCCAGGCTCTCCCATGGGGTGCTAGCTGAGACCCTGCTCCCCCTCCTCCATTTCTCCTCCCCCTTCCTCCTCTACCTGCTCCCAGTAGCCTGCAAGGGCACCTCTGTCTGCTGCTCCTGCCATCAATATTGAGGTTATCTTTTTCTTCTGGCAGCTGCTGTAATTGAAACAAAGCAGGCTGGGCCTCACGGGCTCGGCTCCTCTTGCTCATTTTGCTGGTGCTGCTGAGACAACTAATTCATCTTATCGATGCATGGTTGGCCTCTTTTCCACCAGGCAGAGCAGTCTCCCTGCCATAGCTGGTAGGAGCAGACTGTGTTCCTGTGGCATGCTGCTGGGTGCTGCTCTTGTCCAGCCTCTGGTCCCTGGCTTGCCTCAGCTGGGTGCTGGCCACCAGCAGAAGATGCCAGAGGAGCCAATCAGGGAAAAAGGTGCAGATTGGAAGGATGCTGATTACTTTAATCTCTTTCTTTTGCCTTCTGATGCATTATCAGCACTTGTATTAAATTCCACATCCTTTCCTTGTGCAACTCCTAAGGTGTCCCTGCTGAGGAGGTGGCAGGTAATGAGTGGGCATACATGGATTTGCATTCCCTCACTGATGACCAGTGCTGCAAATAGCCATGGCAGAGAGACGGATCCCATCTGGTGCTGGGTGTGTAGTCCACTGCAGCAGCTACCATTTGGTTACCTCCCAGCAGACAAATTTCTGGCCCTGAAAGCTTGGGTAGGCATTTTACTTTGGGTAGAGACACTGAGGTGTGGGAAAGATGTGTCACATTGTTTGGATGAAGTCCTACATGACTGAGTAGGGGCAAGGCTTTAGAGTGAAACTGATCCTGCTCCATATAATACTGTCCAAAGACCTGAAGGGTTTGGGGTGCCATGCCTGGGTCCCCTATGACAGGATTCACCCTTGAAAGATGCCAGTAACCTGTAGCTCTGCAAATGCTGTGTCAGTGTCTGTACTATTGCGATGCTGAGGGAGAGCTTTGCTCTGGCTGGGGTGGAGAGGTGTTTTGGGGGAGGAAACAGACTCTCTGCATCTTCAATATCTTGGTCTCTCCAAGAGAGAGTGGTGGTGTAAGTAGAGTCAGAGAGCTCCAAGGAATCCTCACTTGTTGTGGGGCTGGCTCAACTGGGGGGTCAAGGGCCAGAAACAAGAGCTGGCTTTAGGTTCTAGCAGTGCTGTTCCTTGGTACCCTGTTACGTGTGGCTGTACCCTGGAGGAGGGTGCAGCAGGGTACCCTGGTACCCATGGCTGTGCCACCACCCTGGAGGAGGGTGCAGCAGGGTACCCTGGTACCCATGGCTGTGCCACCACCCTGGAGGAGGGTGCAGCAGGGTACCCTGGTACCCATGGCTGTGCCACCACCCTGGAGGGGGACAGATGTCAGTTTCATGTCACATGAATCCTTGGCCCTGTGTGCTGCTCCTGCCGAGGGCCGGGCAGATCCTCTCGGGAAAGGAGGAACAGCCAGTCCTAATGTCAACAGAGGCCTCTTGTGCAGCGATGCTGTGTCAAGAAGAGGAATGGGTCCCTCCTCCTCCACCCATTCATCTGGCAGTCGGGGCTGGCGTGCTGCCAAGCCAGGCTGCTTTGGAAACATTTCATTGAGGAGGCAGCTGAGCCTAGGAAAACAGAATGAAAATATACAGAGGGATCACTGTTGTTAGGCAAAATAAATGCAAGCGGCTGCATTTTTGTCCCCCAAGTCCAGCCCAGCCAGGCCCCTCTGGCTTCTCTGGGGTCAGGGTGGCTGCTGCTGCCTGGGGGTGGCAGCCATCCATCTCCATTGTGGGTTAGGAGCTGGGGAATGAGACCTGGAGAGGTCATCTGTGGCTTTGGCCAGCTTGCTGGTGACCCTGGTGAAGAGGCCCAGATTAACTTTGGGGTAGCGTTGCCCAAGGAGATGGGACAGAGCAGAGAAACAGCAGCAGGGATGAGCCAGCAGCAGGGACTTGTGGTCCCTGCGTGGCCACCAGTGCAGGGGGGTTGATGGAAGTGATGCAGGGGCTGCAGAACTGAGTCAGATTTTGGCCATGTTCATTCCCACCTCCCTCTTCAGCATCAACCGTGGGACCAGGCTGGGCAGGAGGCCCCCAGCAGGACAGAGTCCAATCCCTGAGTTTTCAAAGCCCAGTTGCTTGGCATGCCCCATCTTCTGTCTGCTGGCAGAGGGAGAGCAGAGTCATCTCAAAGCAGTACCCAGGGACAGAGGGTGGAGGTGCCTCTGACTTCTGAGCAAAGCTGCATACGACAGATTTGCCTCTCCCGTTGTTTCCTCCTATAACCTCTCTCCTTCCTCCAAAGGCCTTCAAGTCACTCCATGGCCATTTGATGACCTACAAGAGGTGTATCCCAGTATCTCCCTCCCTCCCTCCTGATGGGTCCAGAGTAATTTGGGGGAGGCAGAGCTGGAGCCCCAGCCCCATGAAATACCAAGGCTCTCACCCCTGCATAGCTTTCTATGGTTTTACCTCCTCTCTTTGTCCACCCAGCATAGTCTGGTTTTGTTACTTACAGCTTATATCAGGGGGTTGAAAGAGCCCAGTGTGAGCAGAAAAAGCCCAGCCCACACTCTGGGAGAGACACGTCTCACCAGGCCAGCTCATGCGTGGAATTGCAGGCAGGTCCCCAGGGCTGAGACTGGATCTTGCCCTGGTCCTTGTGTTTGTAGGAGCTTTGCTAAGATTCAGGCTCCCTCCTGCCTTCCTGCCAGGAAAGCAGACAGCAAGATAATCCTTTTCTGCCATGTGAGTGGTGATTTGCCATGTGTGTCTCCACACATCTCTCCTGGAAACAGGTTAGCTGTGATGCTGGGTCCCCAAATCCTGCTGCTGAGGGCGGCCTGGGATGATGGCAGATGTGACAGTGATGGCCCTCACTGCAGCTGAGGAACCTTGGTAGAGCTGCCAAAAATGCCTGACTCCAGCTTCCCATCCAGCTGGACCCTGTGATCCACTCATGTTCCAAAGCCAGGGCAGACCCCATACTAAAGGCTAACAGAAGCATTGTTTACCCCTTGCTTTGCCATCATTTATTCATATGCCTGTAGCCTGAAAAAATGATCCCCCATTTATTTTAGTATCCCTAATTAAGGGGAAGGAACTTCAGTGGCTGAAAGGGGGAGGTGGTGGCCCAAGAGGGTTGTTTTCTGCTGAGCTCAGCCCTGAGACAGCCAGCCTGGCTGGGATGGACATCTCTCCAGTGGGACTGAGTAACTTTCTGGAGCATTCTGTGCTCTTAGACTCATGCTGGAGAGGTGGCTGTTCCTTCTGGAAGCCAAGGGTCTTCACCCAGCAGCTGCTCTGTGCTGAATTGCTCTTTGCACAGCAAATGCGTTTGCTGGAAGGGTGCTGAAATCTCCATGGCAAGACAGAGGCTCAGCACATTGCTAATCTTATAGGGGCTGGGGGAAGGCAGGCCTGGCAAAGCCAGAGGTGTAGTGTCATGTGTGGGGGAAAGGGAGAACAACAGGTTCTGACAGACAGAAATCTCTGCCTGGGTACAAGAGTGTGTCTGGGTCTGCATCATCCCAGCCTGAGCAACCACAGGGACACACAGGCAGGTAGAGCAGTTCCTGGATCAACATGAGGGTGAGAACAGCCATCCCACACCTGATCTTGGAATTCAGCCTGTGCTTGGAGAAGGGAGAGGTACTTTCAGTCCTTGCATTTCTCTTTTGAGTACGCAGACAATTGCAGTCACACCTGAAGGAGGCCTTTGAGCTTGTCAGTTCTGGAAAGTTTCATAAAATAACTGGCTGGCTAGCAAAAAGCCACTTTATTAGAGTCCCTGCTGGAAGAGGAGCACAGCAATAACTCAGCGCTAATGAATCAGTGGAGAATCCACAGGGGATTTGAACAGTTTGACAGCAAAAAGCTCCAACTCCGGTCTGTGCTTTGTTGGAGACCTTACTAGGCACTGGAAAATCTAAAAATGGTGCTAAACTCCATGAGCAACCAAATCAAGGTGTCTCTCCTCTTGCTTGCAAGGCCAAATATTTCATGAGATAATTCTCTGTGCCTCTTCCTGGACATTGGATCTAAGGGGGTGCTAAGGAATAACTGTCCTGACCAACAGATTCCTCTGCTCCCAAATGCATTAAGGCAGGGGAGCTGCAGTTACTCCCTGTGTCCTTTCCCTTCTGTCTCTGTCCTGAGCAGCATCAGCAACATAGGAAAGGCAGAAACAGCCACACTTCCACTGAGTACTGTGCAATGGAGGCTGTTGCAGGGAGCTTGGATGCTG